TTGCTTTGAACTTCATGTGTCGCCTTAAATACCGCGCATTTGAATCAGGCCAAACTCAATCGGATAATTTTATGCATTTCTATTTTATTTGATTCGCTGTCAGTGTACACAAAAAGCACTAATGCATTAAAACAGAGGGTCTATTTTTGGCTAATGTCAACATAATGACAACAATGTGATCAGTTTAGAATTCATTAATTAAATCACATTTTGCTTGAATTAGCGACTCCAAATATTCGCTTTCAAGAAATTCATTTTGACAAACAATTTCAAAGTGTTTGCCTCTTAAATTTTACAGCTAACCTAAACTCTTTTGATTTTTTATCTCAGCAAATTATTCTCAACTTGTGTCCAGGCTATCAAATCCTTCCCGTCCCAATGTAAACTTCTATCCTCCCTTGCAGACGTGTTTGCCTTTTAGTCTTCGCTTAACCAAGTCACTTATTAAGCTAGTGTACTTTGTCTCATATGGCTACTCAGAAATATTATGCACACATATCTTCTATCCCTAATGCTAAAAAATAGTCATTGATGTCAAAATAAATCATCCGTGCACACACTTCGCATTGAAGCAAAAACGAAAAAATTATAAATGGATTATCATTTCTGGGTATCTTTCTATTCTTGCCTTTGCCAAACTGTGATATTCACTATTGGCCAAGTAAAAAGTCAACCATCTGCCCAAGATGATTAATCGAGGCATGATTTAGAAAAGCTGCGGTGCAGAATTTATGGCAGTTGGGTTCACTTTGCGCAGCAAGTAAACCCAAGATGCAGCCAGTGCTTAAATGCCATTTCTTAATACCAGAGTCTCAAGATGTGGGAGCAGCGAAAAGCACAGTAGCGAGATGCCCACACTGAGGGGGCACTTGGATGCACTACACAAGTCCTACCACTTCCAACAGATAGAAAGCACACGAGTCTCTTTCATTGCCCAATAGACCAGACAGTTGCACTTGTCATTACATCAACGCAACATCTTGTCATTGTACAGATCCAGGGGAATAATCGGGATCGGAATACCTACACAGGTAACAATTTGCTTGTAAAAATCCTTGAACAAGGTGAAATTTGCTACCCATAATTGCTAGACAACATGGAATGACTGTTGCAAATTTATTGTTAGTGGCATTTACTATGTTAACAATGAGAAATAAAATCTTGGTCACATTCATCGCAATCGCTAGGATGTGAGTTACAGGTCGATCCAAGTGAGGTAGCGCTGCTCAATTTGACCTGTGTCATATGCCACGTACCTATGCACTTAGGGTCGCTGTCTATCCTC